ATTTTACCTCCTAGGGCTCAGCAGAGTGCCACTGAATGAATTCACTCATTTATTTCCCAAACACATATCTGGAGTGTCTACTTTGCACTATGTAGGTGCCGAGTTTCAGTGGTGAACAAAACACATGTTGTCCCTCTCCTCATAGAGCTTCTAGTCTATGAAGGAGAGAGGTTGAACTCAAATAATTATCCAACACGTGACATTGCAAATGTGGCTGGTGCTGTGATGGAGAGGCAATGGTGTGTTAAGAAGGTCTGACCCAGTCCAGGATTGCAAAGAATTCCCTGAGGTGGTGGCACTTACCATGAGATCTAAATATAAGTAAGAATTAGCTAAATGAAGGTAGACAGAATATTCTAGGCAGACAAAGAAATTACTGTGTGCATGTGGTCTTTCAAAAGGAGATAACCTGGTGAGAATAAATGATTGAAACAGTCCCATGTGGCTGCAGTGAGAAAGAGGGAACTGAGGCTGGAGAGACAAGTACGAGGCAGATCAGGGAGGGCCTTTAGCTAGTGTCTTTGATTTTCTCTTCCTCTTAAGAACATGTAGGTATTTTATCCTAGCTGTGAAGGTGCAGGCACTAAGGTACTGCTGTGTGATACTGAAGCCATATGAGGGGCCCAGGTTCAGATCCTGGGTTAACCTGAACATATCTAGTGTACCTTCATGTGTCTATGGTTTTGACTGGCTGGGAAGCTGGGGGATGGATCATGATGTAAGGAGATCCTGTCTAGGAAACTCACTTTCCCTTCAATCAATTGATCAATCAGTCAATTGATCAACAAATAAATAAATAAATGTCAAGAAGTTTGAACATGGCTGAGGGGAAGGAAGACCCTTTGGAGGGCATAATGTCAAAGGGTACAGAGTAAGTGTGTAAAATTATTTTATCCTTGAACACTTATTTATTTTACATACTTACACGTAGTTATCTTTATGTTTTATTATAAAAATCCTCATTCTACCCTCTTAAATATTATTTTTGCTAGTCTTTGGGATATCCAACTCAAATTTGTTTTAGTTTACATAGATCAAGAAAGTACCTTAATGGTTCGAAAAAGCATCCATAACTTTCCCTGTAACAGCTATTCCTTTGACCTGTGATCTGACCACTGTGGACATCCTGAGGCTATTACAGTTTATTTGGTGACAGTATTTGGGGACACTGTCCACTATGTTGATACCTCTAGTATAGATTTGAGTTACTTAGTATTTTGTTTTGTTTTTGTTAGTTGTTGTTGTTGTTGTTGTTGTTTTTGCCATAGGGCATATGCATTAGCCAGAGAGGGATGGTGAGAGGGAAAGTGAGAAATCAATCCCCCTGGGGCATGGTCATGCTGCAGTCCCTTCTCTTTCATTCTCCTCCTGGGATTTAGCCACACACACACATGCACCCAGTGCAGTTTTCAAGCTTCCAGGTCTAAGACTTGAACTCCAATTGGCCATGTGGGAGTTGACCACCGTCACCACTCCACCACCTGCTGGCCCCATGACTTAGTCTTTATAAGCTTGAAAACTATGTGACATTCCTGCAGTTATCCTCCTCACCCCCAAATGGTTTACTTTTCTACCAATTAATAAATAAAACTTTTACTTTTTTTGGTATAGAAAATTAGGAGTTGATAGATGCCAGACAGGAAAATGTATATATGTTCCTAGTCATACTGTTTTAAAATACACCTTTATTGAGAATTGAGTTCATGTCATGAGTGTCATACACTCTGCAAAGGTATTCAGAATACAGAGAAAACAAAAACAAAAACCACAGCCCAGATCCTCATGTTACAATCTAATGGCAAAGATAAATACATACAATTTGAAAGTAGTGTTAAGAGTTCTGTAATAGAAGAAAGCATGAAATGATGAACAGGAGAATACAAAGGAAGAGATCTAATCTGCTTGACTCATCTATGTTTTTGAAGCTGAGGCAGGAAAAATTACCAGCAAAGGTGAAAGCTTATTTAAGTCTCAAGAATAAATATGGTTGAACCAAGAAAATTAAAAGAGAGGAAATTATGCTAGAAAAAGAAGAGGTGGTTGCACATGATTGACAGTGGCTCTGGCCTAGGACCCAAGCAGGGCACAGATGTGAACAGAGGCCAAAGTATAAATGTCCTATAGTAAGGTCATAAGACAGAGAGAAGGCAGGAAGGAGCCAATCCTGTAGGAACCATCATAAACTGTAACCAGCGTTCAACCACTTCTTGCTATCTCCAATGCCTCCACTGTGCTTCTGCCCATCACAGTGTCTTACAAGGGTTATGGCCAAAGCCTCCTCACTCGTTTTACTGTCCTCAACTCTGTTCAATTTATTCCTAGCACAACAGACAGAATGTTGACAGCATAAGTAAACTGTGTCCTTCCTCTATTTAAAACCCTCCAATGGTTTCTCATTTTATTTAATGTATAAGCCCAAGTTTATTTTACTTATTGCTTTTTAAATTTAATATATTTTATTTTATTTTCATTTCTTTTATACATTCAATCACTATACATCACTTAGCTTGGAAGGTGAATTTTCCAGCATGAATACACTTCATACCAGTCTAGTTGGGGATACTATACATGTTCATCAACAGATAATTCATTTATTTCTATTTAAGATACTGTATATATTTTTATGTTGTTTATTGTTGTCTCCCTCAGAAGAAAGGAAACTCTGAAGGGCAGGAACTCTGGTCTGTTTAATTCACAGATGTCAGTAGCACCTAGGATATGCCTGGTACTAAACTGTCAGTCACTAATTTTTGAAAGAATGAATGACTATTACCCTAGATATGAGAGGTCTTCCAAAAAACCATGAAAAATACATATTATGAAAAAACCATACATGTGTTTCAGAAATGTTTTACACCAAACTAAACTCATACTTTAATTTTATTTTTCTAATTTTTAAAAATATTAAAGCCAAAGGATGCATGCGCTTGCCAGAGGGAGACAGAGAGAGAAAGAGAAAAAGGTAGAATGTACCTTCAATAGGGTGCAGTCATGCCACACTCCCTTTTCTTCCGTTCCCCATCCTTTTGGGATTTGGAGCATGCATACACATGTACCCAGCATATTTTTTAAGTTGTTGGGGCCAGGATTCAAACCATGGTTGGCCTTGTGGAATCTGGCTCCTTTAACTACTAGGCTATGGGGCCAACCTTCCACAAAGTTTTTAAAGTCTTCTCATATATCAGGTGATTCACCTCATTAATTTTTAGTGAACTAGTGTATTGCAGCACATTCCCTTATTTTACCCTACTCTTGATTCAACTGGTTTTTTTTTTTTATGAACTGCTTTATGAATATAGATTTTCCTCTTTGACTCCCAAGTAGACTTTTGTTCTTAGCTAAACCCAGACTAAGTTAATACATGCTTCTCTTTCTTGTGTCAGCTCCCTGTGCCTGTGATGAGGTCTCTGGGAACATGATTAGACCCATGTGTGTGAGCCAAGGGTGAAATCTTGGCATTTCAGTGAGAGGCGAGTAGTGCTCTGATGAACTGAAACAGGATCTGAACAATAACAGCCACTGGGTTCTTAGTGTAACTCTCATCCTCACTCTGTACAGCCAGCCTCTCCCTTCCCTGGGATTGGTCACACTCTGGTGCTTGGTACTGCTGCTTCCATGCTGTGAAAATGGACTGCTCTATTTTCTCAGGCTCCATAGGGTATTAAGCATTTGATTTCTTCATAAATAGAGCAGAGAAATATAACCATAGAATAACACTGTGGACACATTTAACAATATTTATTTAGTGAGTAAAAGAGTTAGACCTTGGGTTACATGGTCTGCACTTCCAGTTAGTCAGTGTTATCATGACCACGGGTGATGTTGAAATCAGCGTGTTCTGATTCAGGGGGTGTTAATTATCTTAATGATGACATGTAATAAGTTGTTAAACACTTTTTTCATATACTGTGAAGGAACTGTTAAAAATTGGTCTTCTACATACCTTCCAAGGGTTGCTTTGAATCCTGAGTCTACATATGCTGAATACCGTCTGGTTGAACAGTGTACTACTAAACATGGTCAAGCAGAGAGGGCAGAGTGCCTGATTTTAAGCTGCTTATTATGCTTTCATTAATAACACCCAATAATTCCACTACTGCCACTGTCACCATGTATTGAGCGCCTACTGCGTAACAGCTCCTACCACTTAAGTTGCTACTATAAGATGTTTTGTCTCAGTTAATTCAGTGAATGGTCCCAGTAACACCTTTTTTTCTTTGGTAGTAGTTTTTGCCTTAGGGTACATGTGCTCACCATAGAGAGAAACACAGGCAGTGAGAGGGAAAGTGAGAAATCACCTCTCCCCAGGGGGTTAATTACACCACAATCCGTTCTCCCAGGATCTTGAGCACACACGCACATGTGCCCAGCCTGAGTTTCAAGCCACTGAGTCTGGGACTCCAATCATAGTCAACCATGTGGAAGTCCAGCTATGGAACTGCAATGCCATCCGCTGGCCTCTGGTCCTAATCACTCCATAAAGTGGACATACATTTTCATAATTCTGATTCCAAATTTGGAGAACAGTAAAGAAAGAATAAGTGAAGCTGTGACTTAAATCTTAGTGAAACATTTATTCACAGTCAAAGTACAGAAGGTGTCTACAATAAACAAGTCCTGTTTGTTTTGGTAACTGTAATTTCCATCTGGAAGTAGGACTAGATAGCAAATATTAGTATGTTCTCACATGGCTTTGTTTTCTCTCTTCTCAGAAAGGAGCTGGGTATCACTTGGATCTTTTCTGGGTGGCTATCCTCATGGTGGTATGCTCTTTCATGGCTCTTCCGTGGTACGTGGCTGCTACCGTCATCTCCATTGCTCACATCGACAGTTTGAAGATGGAAACAGAGACTTCCGCACCCGGAGAACAGCCGAAGTTTCTAGGAGTGAGGTGTGTTAACTCAGAGGAAACTGCTTCTACACGACACATTGTACACACATCTTTGTGTCTGACATAGAAATGGGCATGTTGAGGGGAGATAAGGCTGATTAATTTATTTCTGTATTTTTCCGTTTCTGAAAGAACTAAATTTCCATAGGAGAGTGTTCAATACTGTTTTAGTTCACTTTTTATGATATTTATATTTATATATTTTTATCTATAGGTGATTTTTGTGATTGACTTTATCACAATCATATTTAGACCCTAAAACTCTTGAGTCTGCTTAAGATTTTAAGACCCTATGAAGAGGGACCAGCAGTTAGCGTCATAGCTATGTCGCTGGACTCCCACGTAGTCGACTGCGGTTCGCGTCCCGGACCCGGTGGCTTAAAACTCACGCCGGGCATGTGTGCGTGCGTGCCCAAGATCCTGAGAGGAGAATGGAGAAGAAGGGATTGCGGCGTGACCATCCCCCCTGGGGGGTGATTTCTCGCTTTCTGTCTCTGAATCCCTGTCTGTCTGACGAGCGCACGCGCCCTATAGCAAAAACCTCTCCAAAAACAAAAAACAAAAAACAAAAAAAGACCCTATGAAGAGAAAAGTGTTTCTGTTTTTCAATTCATTTTTTGTCCTCATAAGCACTGAGAAACTTTGACTTCTGGCTGCTAAATTTGAGTAATTTTTGTAGCAAACTCTGCACATAAGTGCTTGGGTGGCTAGTTCACACGGCAGAGCCATCGTTTCTCACGCTGTAACAGAGGGTGATTCTTTCTTAGGGCGTGGGGGAGGGTGTATTGGATGGGAATCATATTTGTTAAAAAGTACTTTTGTTGTTGTAGATTCGGAAATTAGACGGATGGGATTTATTGCACTCATGAAAGTTCCCTGAGCTGTTTGTTAATGAGAATGTGGGACAATGTAATATCTGTCTCCTATGAAAGAAGGTGTAACAACAGGACAAGTTGTTTAAAAAATAAGAGCTTCAGTGAGGCCAGTCATTGGTCCTTTTGGTCCATCGAGTGATTTTTCTTTCTTGATTCTAAAAAGAGCAAACGATTTTAGCACGGATCACTCTTTCATGAATGTAAAACGCGTTACAGTAGTTTTAAGCGTTGAAGTTATACCGAGTTATGTACTGTCCTTAAAGTATGAATTATATGATATCAAGACTTTGGTGTTTTAGCCAAGCATTGATTCAATCAATGTACAGTTGTGTTGGGAGGTGAGAGATAGGAGCATCTTTATGAAAACAAAAGGTAGATTGGTAATCTTTTGATTTGGTTTCAGGGAACAAAGAGTCACCGGAACTCTTGTGTTTATTCTGACTGGTCTGTCAGTCTTTATGGCTCCCATCTTGAAGGTAAATATGTGAAACATTTGCCTTTTCCTCTTTCTCAGAACACTGACAGATAATTGGACATATGAAGATTTCCTTAGGAAATATTTACAATATTCTCATCAGTTCTATAACACCGAAACAAGGGTCATATAGAGACAGGATTTTTTTAAAGAGGTTTTTGCCTCAGGGCATGTACACTCAGAGAGAGAGAGAGAGAGAGAGAGAGAGAGAGAGAGAGAATGGGAATCACTCATCAGAGGAAATGGCCATACCACAAGCCCTTATCCTCCATTCTTTTCCTGGGATCTTTAGTACTCACGCATATGCACCCAGTGTGAGTCACCAGGTCTGGGACTCGAACTGTGGGAGTCCAGTGATGTAACTGCTACACTATGCTGGCCCCCTAGAGACAGGATTTTTAAAAAAACTTTTGTTTGAGGGACCAGCAGTTAGCATAATTGCTAAGTCACTGGACTCCCATGTAGAAGATCGTGGTTCGAGTCCTGGACCCAGTGGCTTAAACTCATGCTGGGCGCGTTTGCGTGTGTGCCCAAGATCCCAAGAGGAGAATGGAGGAGAAGGGATTACGGCATGGCCATCCCCCCGGGGGGTGATTTCTCGCTTTCTGTCTCTCTGTCACTCTCTGGCTTTCTGGCGAGCACACGTGCCCTATAGCAAAAAACTCAAAAAAACAAAAAAACAAAAAACAAAAAATACCTTTTGTTTGATTTTCTTTTCACTTTATCCTTCCTATTATTATTATTATCATTGCAGTTATTATGTGACCAAACCATATGAAATTACCAGTATTCAAGCTTTCTGACCCATGACTTTCTGATTGATCTTTTTCCTCCTATATCATTTACTCTCTTTGTTTTCCTATTCATTCTATTTCCATCATCTTCATTTATTTGTACTCAAATCTTTCCCCCTCCTCCCAATAGACTCCTGGATAATGTACTGATTGAGGATGATCATTTTGGAATTTTTCTCCTATTTTTTTTTAAGAATTATTTAATTTTATTTATTGTTATTTTTTAATTTGACCAGAGAGAGACAGAGATAGAAAGGGAAAGTGAGGACACAAGCTGCCAGGTCTGGGACTCGAACTATAGCCAGCCATGTGGGAGTCTAGCGCCTTAATCACCACACTACCTTCCAGCCCGTGTCTTATTTTTTATTATTACTGTTTCTACTTTCTTTGAAACAGAGGGCTTAATAGTCCACAAAGAGAAATGAACATAAAATTGCTGATTGATAGTTAGAAAATTTTCAAAGCAAACTTTTGAACAAAAAACCACATATACTACATTATTTACAAAAGTAGGAATCAATATATAGGTTTGATTGATGGAGTGGATATCTGCCTGGGTACATAAATATAAGAGCACTTCATAAAGTTCATAGAATATGTGCATTATAAAAAAATATAGGGCCAGCCAATAGTGTGGTGTTTAAGTGGACTGGATCCAATGAGGCCAACTGCATAGCTCAAGTCCCAGACCTGGCAACCTGAAAAACACACTGGACACATGTGTATGCATGCCCCCAAATCCTGAGAGGTGGCTGGAGGAGGAGACTGTGATGAGACCAACACCTGGGGGTGCCTTCTCACTTTCTCTCTCTGTCTCTCTGTCTCTCTCTGTCAAGTGCATGTGCTCTATAGCAAATTAAAAAACATCATCAGCAACAAAAAGAACACAATGTGTATGGACTTCAAAATATTTGTGCACCACAGTAAACTCATACTTTAGTTCTATTTTTCTATGACTTTTTCGAAGTACTGTCATGTAAACTGTATGTGAAAGCCTACTTAGAAGCAGAAATAATACCAAAGAAGAAGGTTAGCATATGTGTGTGTGTGTGTGTGTGTGTGTGTGTGTGTGTACGTATACATACATACCTGTCCATGAAGCATCCAAGTTTCTTTCTGTGAAAATTGGGAAAAAAATGGCCATTTTTGTTCTATTTTCTTCTATATAAGCAGTGCTAACCAATTACTGAGCTTTGGCCCAGTGTCAAAATCACCCATAGAACTAATAGGTATAAATGACTGTTTACAAAGTCCTTTCCAACTTTGTCTTAAATTTTTAATTATTTATTAATTATTTAAATATTATTAACGTCAGAAGGTATGTGTACTTGCCAGATAAAGAGAGAGGGAGAAGGAGAGGAAGAAAGCACCCCTACAGGTCATGTTCACACTGCCATCCCTTGCCTATTTCTTCATCCTGTGGGGATTTGGGGCACACATGCATGCACCTGGTATATTTCTCAAGCTGAAATTTAAACTGCAATGAGCCATGCAGGATATTTGCTCTCTTAACCACTAGCCCATGGGGTCTGCCCTGAAGGTTTCATTTTTAAACCATTCAAATTTCTAAAGTTTTATTAAATACTGAAGTTCTCATTTTTAAACCATTTAAATTTCTAAAGTTTTTTAAAATACTCACTTAATGAACAAGAAATGGAGCAGTACAGTCTTCTAGAGAATTTGAACAATATAGAAATACAAACAGTACCAAAACTAAAAGTCTTCTGTTTCTCTCTAATTATCCAGTGTTGGATGATTTTGAGGAAATCCATGATGAATTTGAGGAAAGTAGATCAGAAATCAGATGAATTTTTGGGAAGTAGACCTATAATCTTCACATCTAGATAAGACTAATTTTGCCATCGGGAAGTTTAAACCAGTGCATACTTTGTTCACAAAATACTTGATAACCAGTTGAAATGTTTAATTATTTGTCTTTTATTCTTAGTTTCCACACTGTCAGTGAACTGGTTTAATTAATTTCTGACTGATTTTATGTAGAAATATGTACCTCATGTAACACTTGGGGAATTAAGATAAAAAATTACCTCAGATAAGTCCTTTCTAGTTATGTACAGAGGATCTTAAAATTTAGTGCAGGAGCCAGCAGGTGGTGTAGTGGTTTAGGTGCTGGACTCTCACATGGCTGGCTCTCTTCGACTAGTGGCTTAAAAATCACACTGGGCTCATGTGTGCACGTGCCCAAAATGTCGAGAGGAGAAGTGGGAAGAAGGGATTATGGTCTCTGCCATCACCCCCAGGGGGTGGTTTCTCACTTTCCCTCTCTCTCAATCTGTCTCTCTTTTCTAGCAACCACACATACCCTATGACAAAAACAAACAAACAAACAAAAACAAAAAAAAGCAAACCAACAAAACACACACACAGACACACACACATACACGCAAAACAGAAAAAACGAAAATTTGAGTATAGAGTGGACTAGCCCATGGCTGGCTGGTTAAGGCAGCTGGATGTCATATGGCCCATGGTGTGGTTTGCATCCTGGACTTGGCAGCTTGAGAAACATGTCAGGTGCAGGCACATGTGTGTCACAGTCCTAAAACAATGGAGAAACAGAGGAGAAGGGAGTGCGATGTGACTTCCCCAACAGGGGAGTGCTTCCTCACTCCCTCCTGCCCCCCATGAGCACACATGACTTGTGAAAATTAAAAAAAAAAAAAAAAAGTGTACAGAGCTTATGTTTTCTATGGAGAGGGAATGCTCTTGTCACCTTAGCTAGTACAAAGCAAGTTACCTGGTAGGCTCGAAGGTGTAGTGAGTTTCACAGCATTAAATCTGCTGCCAAACTGCTTTGGAAAAGCCTGTCGACTGTTTAGCCTCACCAGCAAGGTGAAGTCATCTGGTAAGATCATGTTCAGAGTTCATTGAAGGCAGTTATAACCCCATATTGGGGGAGGCTCTGGTAAAAGGAATTTTCTCGAGTTCTCTGAAGGAGGGCTACTCACCAGAGCTGAAATTTAAACTGCAATGAGCCATGTAGGATATTTACTCCCTTAACCACTAGCCCACAGGGTTATAATCATTATTATTATTATATGCAGCTAAGTTTCTCATTCGGACTCCCCTAGTGCTTAGTCACTAGTGAGGGATAAATGGATAGAAATATTCTCACCAGTTCAAATTTACTTATCACCCCCTCAATTTAAAAAAAAATTGACATTCCATCTTTTCATTAATACAGTATAGAATCCTAATTCAAAAATGTCAGTTTTTAAAAAGAATTATTTATTTAATTTTATTTATCATTATTATTATTATTATTAAATTTGCTACAGGGCACGCATGCTCACCAGAGGGAGACAGAGAGGAAGTGAGAAAGCAAGCTGCCGGGTCTGGGACTGGAACCACTCTTAGCCATGTCAGAGTCCAGCATCTTAACCACCATGCCACCTGCTGGCCCCAGTCAGATGTTTTTCAAAGTGCATGCAGGACAACAAACTGACTTTAATCCTGGAGAGTCTGTTAGTTGAATAATCAAATATGATGCCAGCGGGACACAGAGAACAGATACTGTATAAACTACTATTTTTAGAAAGAGATTCAAGTCTTACTTTTTCAGCAACACCTTTTCCTTTTTGCTCACCTCGTACCTAAAACAGGGTTACTGAAGAGTTAAAGCTGAAAGTTCTCTTGGTCTTTGCAATGATTCCTTTTGCCTCTGTTATGGAAAACACCTTAGTATCTATAGGAACTGACTAGGACACGGAGAGAGGAAATGGAGCGCTGTTATGGGATCACAGAGCATGAGTTTGCTTTTCCTTTGACCTTCCTTAAGTAATCCAGGCTTTGGCTCACCCTCATTCAGCTGCTTGTGTCCATGATTGCAGCGATTTCAACCTGGCAACTTGGGGGTTAACCCGAAGAGTCATTGTAAAAATCAGTGAGAAATATGATCCAGCAAACTTTTTGTTCAGCAAGGTTTTGCCCAAAATGTGGGAAATAAAATTGTTTGGTTCAGATGGCTTCCAATATGTTGTGGGAAACCCAGATTTTAAAATAAGACTAAAATAATCGAGCATTGACAGCTGAAATTTCTTACTTCAGTACACATAGCCCTGGCTTCAGGAGTCTCGTCTCCTCATAAAGTCGGTGCATTTCAGACCCCGTGCCCTTCCTAGCCCTGCAGTGTGGCAATGTATGTGTGTTCATCACAGATCCCTCGGTAGCACATTTGAAAAGTCAT